CCTGGGCCCACCCCCAAGTTCTGATTTCACTGGTCTGAAGCTGGGCAGGGAGGGAACCTGTTAAAGTTCCTCAGGTGGTGCTCATACTCTCCAAGACTGTGCTGTAGGTGCCTGAGCGAACATCAGACCACCTGAGGAGCTCCCCAAGAGGCCGGGATCCCGGGCCCCACGCCAACTTCCTGAAGCAGGCACCTAGAAGCCAGCATTTCTAGGCAGCTTTGGCCAGGAGTATTTGGCTCTAAGTACCTGCGAACGTTCAGCCCTTTCCAGCCCTGCCTGGCCTGACACCCTCCTGTCTGAGCCACAACCCTCACACTGCCAAGCTCTCCCCACCCCCCACCACTACCCCACATGGCTGGCCCCCGACTTCCCCACCACCACTCAGCTCTGTGAGGACAGGTATGGTGGCGGGGAGCAGTTAGCAGCCCCCCTGGCAGATGAGGAACCTGGGAAGGAATCAGAGCTGACCTTCAGACGCAGACCTGAACGGAGCCAAAGGTGAGCACCCTGAGTGACTGAGACAAAGGCAGGAGCCCCGGGAACACATGCCCCACGTGCAACAGCCACACTGGTCCTCAGAGCACTCGGCAGCACTGTGCTCCTCGAGACCCTCATAGCTCTACTACGTTCCCTGCAACAGCCCCCTCGACCTCGCAAAGCCACTACCCTCTTCAGAGCCAACCTCTGGCCCCACCTTCTCCGTGACAGATCCCTGTGCCCCCCAGCTGGCGCTGGTTTTCTTTCAGAGTTCAAAGGAGGTGGAAATAAGCAAAAAAGAGGCGGGGGCAGTCTTTCTGGCCCCGCTCTGCCCTGCGGGCAAGGATCTCGCCTCGGTTGCCCTAACTTGAAGAAAGGAGATTTCAGAGCGGTTCACCCGCGTGGGCCCCTCCAGGTCTAAAATCCAGTGATTCCCGTTTCAGTGTATCTCCTCAAATTCTAACTGTAATTATAGTAGAGGATACTACTTCTGAGTTTGTATTCTATGCTGGGAACTAGCTTAATGTTTCAGATACTACACATCATCATAGCTTTGCTTGCATCAACCCAACAAGGATGTGATAGGATTATCCCCAGTTACTAGGAAGCTGAGGTTCCGAGAGGTGAAGTAGCATCCTCACGGTCACACAGCCATGAGACCAACCGCAGGGCCCATGTCCTCAACCACTACGCCGTGCTGTTCCCCACCGTGCTCTCCTCCGGTGCCAGAGACCTTGTTGGGATCCCCACTGACATGGGGAGGGAAATGGACTTGGGTAATACTGTCCTCATTTTATAAATAAATTTTATAAACCCCTATTAGAGATAAAGTGGCTTGTACCAGGTCACACAATGGCAGGGTCAAGAATAATAATCCAGGGGGTTCAGGGCTTCTGTTTCCACTACACCATGCTGTGGTTGCCGATTTCCCTGGCCTTGGAAGGCAATAAATCGACCTGGCTCCATTTTGGCAGCATAATAATTGCTTTGTCCTTCTACCTTTGAAGGTCTTTCTCCTCTTCTCCAGTTAGCGATAGCTTACGTGATAATTCTAAACAAGCAGTGAGTTAATTTTTAGTCTTGGCATAAAAGAGCAGGGTAATGGACAAGAACAAAGAAACTCCTCCAGCAAGGAAAATTCTCTCAGAACACACTGTACAAAAAAACCCTACCGTTTGCACACTACCTGCCACACGTCTTCATTATACGGTCACAACATTAGCAGATTTTTGCTGTAATTCACACAAATCAAGAGAAAGAATGGTTTCGTTTGCCCTTTTCATACCTCAAAAAGGCAATTCTTAACTAGAAAGAAATTATGTTTTAACTGCCATTTGTGGGAGACATGAGCTTTTAGGCACATGACCTTTGCCAAATGCCACACCTCCTAGGAGAGGACTTAGCAGGGACACTCAGCACAAATGACACTGCAGGTGTATGTACCCAGACACGTCCCACCTGTGTGGGAAAACTCAGCTTTCAGGCTGCTTGCAGCTAGTTCCCAGCAATTTGCCACATGCTGCCAGAGCTCGGTGGCGGTAAATGACCCAGAGACAACAGAGTGACCCGGCAATGCCAGGAGTGCATCACCCTGGCCTGTCTTCTGCAACCTAGGCCAGGGACAGAGGAGTCTCCCCACCAATGTCAGTAAAGGTAGCTTCTTCATACTCTTCTGGACAAAAAGGAATGTCATCCTGAGTACATTCCAAAGGACAAGGGGTGGGTCACCACAGACCCAGGCTTTTTCAAAGACGATACAAAGCCCCATCTTGGGTGAGTTTGGAGCCCACCTGGCAAAAGCACAGCTACCCAGCATGGTCTGGCTACCTTCTCCTGTTCACAGTTTCCCACGTATGAGTCCTGCCTTCTTCTCTTGCCATGATTCATCTTAGGTTTAGGGTGCAGAAATGGGGTCATGGCTGGTCCCCTCAGATGGACCGATGGCCAGGTGATGATTCACAAAGGAACGGAGTGAGAAAGTAAAGCCCCAGGATCTCCTCTGGGAGCTTACAGCAGGGTTCCTGGCTCTTGAGGAATGGCTGCACCTGACTGCTGACGCGGACAGTGCCAGATGATGGCAGCAAATGTGTCTTCTCTGGAGCCTCCGTGCAGTGTGCTTGAGTGCTATTTGAACTAAATCCAGCGTTTTAGCCTGGGACCGATGATGTACTTGCATGAACAAGGAACCAACCTACGTCACCCAAGGTGCCAATGCACATCCTGAGTAAACCTGAAATGCCTTTGCCCGGAAGCTCTCGGGATGGCTGGGGGAATACACACTTGCAATCAGTCTACCTGTGTTCAAACTAGGCTCTACCCTCTACCGACTCTGTCTCCTAGGACATGTAATTTAACTCCTGACCCTCAGTTGTTTCAGATGAAAAACAGAAACAACCAAATCCAGTCACATGACCACTAAGATGAACTATTAAATGCACATGCCGTGAGTAAGGTGGTTGGTATAGTGGCTAGCATAGCAGGCATTCTGTAAATGTTATATTCTTCTCCATTTTTAACTCTTGATACTGGTGTCTAATGTAGTGTTGCTTTTTTCCCCTAAGCTCCCAACTCCAAATAATTCAAATTTGGATAAAGAAAAAAAATCAAACAGGGCATGGTCTTCAACTATAACACCAATAGAGACATTTTTCAGGTTGACAGCAGTCTACTCATAACACTCCTGGAGTGAAGTCATCCAATTAGACGGTCATCCAGCCTGAATTCTCACATCTTATATAAAGGGATGTCATTGTCAAACACTTGGTAAAAACCATAGCAATGGGTGCGACTCCTGAGTGGCTCAGTCGGTTGAGCATCCGACTTTATTTAGCTCAGGTCATGATCTCACGATCCGTGAGTTTGAGCCCCACTTCTGGCTCTGTGCTGACAGCTCAGAGCCTGGAGTCTGCTTCAGATTCTGTGTCTCCTTTTCTCTCTGCCCCTCCCCCACTCACACTCTGTTTCTCTCTCAAAAATAAATACACATTAAAAAACAACTATAGCAATGGAATCTTCTCAAGTCTATCAATCTAATAATGTTAATTTTTTTAATGATGATGAATAGAATCTGCTGTGACATAATAATGATACCCCTCCTGTGTGTACGGCCTATCATAGTTTTCAGGTCTGTTCCCACACATGGCTGGGTCCTCAGAAAACCCTGCTGGTTCCTACCAAGGACCCTAGCCTTAGGGCTCATGGTCATGTTTTTCAGGACTCCATTGTGGAATCCTGCCATTTACCTGGTCACCAATGTTCAGTAAGTACCTATAATGTGTTGAAAAAAAGCTAGATGACAGATATTCAGACAGGCCCAGTTCTGACCTAGTAGAGCTTTAGCAGCAGATAATTGGGAGACAATTAAGGGATAAAGGACTGTAAATTGTGGCAGGTGTTAAGGCAGGGAAAACTAGGGTCAGGTAGAAAACTAAGAAGGCTCCCACTTTCCCTCATTTATTGAGCCATTCGTGAAGAATCAATATTCATCTGGCTGTAATCTATTTTTAACTTGGGCAAGGCAGCTTCAGAGCAACTTTTGCAGAGATCCTCGAACATCAGATTAATACAGCTAAGCATTATTTGGAAGCAACAAGAAATCTCTGAAGGTTTCTAAGGAGGAAGGTGATGAAATCAGAGATACACTTGATTCTGAGTGGATGAGAACAGAAAGGAAGGCAGGGGGCCCCAATCAAAAGGCTATTTCAATAACCTCATAAATACAGGAACAGCTGACCATATGTTCATATTCCTACGGTGATTTTACTTTCTGTACACATCTCTGATTTTTTATGTGTATTGTTGTATTCAGATTCACAGCAATCAGAAGTATTAAGCATTCTAAATGTAAGCTGAAAGTAACTTGATGTTGATTAACATAATTACTAATTATTTTCCCCACTGTGATGAGTTCAAAAGATGATATAGGACAAAATAAACTACTAGGGCATCTTCCAAGGAAACTAAATACCCAGAAAGATATTACAAACAATGCTTAAAATAGTTGTCAACTACTAAAATCTAGAAAATATTAATTTAATTATATCTGGCTTAAAAAAAAAAAAAAAAACAAGTTAGGGCACCTGGGTGGCTCAGTCTGATCCTTGATTTCCGCTCAGGTCATGATCTCACAGTTTCACAGGTTTGAGCCCCACATCAGGCTCTGTGCTGATAGCATGGAGCCTGCTTGGGATTCTCTCTCTTCTTTCTCTGCCCCTCTCCTGCTCATGCTCTCCCTTTCTCTCAAAATAAAAAAATAAACTTAGAAAAAACTTACAAGCCGCTTAACTAAACTATGCCAGAATTTTCCCTGCCCCTGAGTGGCCTCGTCAAGAAGAATAACTCAAAATACAAAAGGGTTTGCAAATACTACTGGTCAGTCACTTGCGTCTCCCTTCTTTTGCCTGACTGTGAGTGAAGAGACCGTCAAAGCTATGGTGGTTTCCCCTGAATATTTTAAGGCCTTAATGTACCCCCCATATCTTGGAAAGTTGGGACTAGTCAGCAGGGACAACCGTCGCTCTTACCCAGCATCATCCTGGAAGCCTTCCAGCTCGTCCCGCTGCTCTGCCAGGGTGGATTCCAAGTCCAGGTAGGCGCCATTGTGGGAGAGCTGTAGCGTGCAGTCGTCGAGCTGCAAGAGAAAGAGCCTTTAAGCCCAGCCTCCTCCTGGGATGGGGACTTTGTATGGAGAAATCACTTCACATTGCCCTCATGTGTCTTTTGAAATCAAGCATTATTCTGAAATTTGGATCATAACTTGGAGAGGTTATGTGTTAGTACAAACAAATTGGGAGCAAACTCCATTGTGAGTAGACAGAAATAACACCTATTGAGGGAGTGGCACTGACACCGTCTGGTCGATGTGGACAGAGGAGGAGAAGGAGCCCTCTGGTGCCAATGTCACTTTCCACTCTGAGGGCCCCAGGAATAGCCATGGAGGATGTGCCGCGTGGAAACCAAAATCATAATGCTGATGTGACCACAGATTAAGAGTCACAGAACATGTCATTTCCTTTGATTGAGTGAGAAGCCTGCTCATTCAGATTCTATGGTCATACCTGGCACATTACGATGAGTAGTTGCTCAATGAGCATTTTTACAGTTGAACTAAAAGAGCCATTCTCCACGTGAATGACAGCCGATCCAAATTACAACGTACCGAAGGAGACATTAGGTCCCTTTGTTACTAGTCTAATTTTTTTCAACTTATTTAGCACTTACATGTTGTTAATTATGTTCCATACACAATTCTAAGTATTTTACATATATTACATCATCGGATGCTCACACAAACCCTATCCATTTCTATTGTCATCCCCCTTTAACGATGAGGAAACTAAGGGATTCTTGGCCATGCTCTCGATCACTACGCCACTCTGCGTCCTTCTATGGCCACAAACCTACAGAGGACTTGAAAATATCATGTTTGTGGGGCACCTGAGTGGCTCAGTCACTTAAGCATCTGACTCTTGATTTCAGCTCAGGTCATGATCTCATGGTTCATGAGTTCGAGCCTCACATCGGGCTCTGTGCTGACAGCGTGGAACCTGCTTAGGATTCTCTCTCTCTCTCCCTCTCTCTCCCTCTCTCTCCCTCTCTCTCCCCTTCCCTGACTTATGCACTCTAAATAAATAAATAAATAAATAAATAAATAAATAAATATTTTTTAACTTTAAAAAACATAAAAAGAAATTTAAAAAGACAATACCACACTTGCAAAATGTAGTATGTGTCATCTCAGTGTTCTGGTATAGCCAAGACAATGCCACAGTGTGCCAACCCCATTCTCTTTTCCTCCTGGGCACAGAGAACACATATCCCAGCCTACAGTTGGGCTAATGGCCATGTAACTGAGTACCAACCAATGGAATTTCAGTGAAAGTAAAAAGGGCCCCCAACAGGCCGGCCTTAGCACCCCTGCACATCCACCTTTCTTCTCTTGCCTTTGGCCGGATGCAGAGAAGCCAGAGGAGGACTCCAAAGTCTAGAAACCAGCAGCGCTCCGGACAGGAGGAGCACCGGTTCCTTCATCACCACGTGGGAGAGAGCGTTCTGTCGCCCAGCATCCACTAGCCATCCTGGCTGATGACAAGAGCCAGACAAGAGCCTTCTCTGTGATAAATCATGCAGATTTTGAGGTTGCTGCAGCAGCCAGCATTACAGGACATTTAGAAGGATCGATACACTTAAAATACAGGAAAATATTTTACTAAAGATGAACATTATGAGGAAATCCAACTTCATGCTTGATTTCCTGGGCTGTAAGGGTGGTTCTCAGTATTCATCTACCTGATGAGCCGAGGCTCTTATTCCAAAATGACAAGAGATTGGGGGAAAGTGAAGGCAAGTATTTAACTACTTTAAAACATCTAGATAAATGCCTGGTAATCCTCCCACTATAAGTGAGATTTCAAACAAGGAAGTAGGAATTAGTCTCTTTTGATGGAAAAGCTTTGCTCATTATCCTTGACAAGAGAAAGGTAGGCTGTCGACTTGTCTAGAATTGGCATCTGTAACAGGCTGCTGATTGTTGTAGAGACCCCGCGGCTCCTGTTCCTAGTTATCCTCAACAGAATGAAAGGAATTTGTTTTTTATTATTTGTAAGAAATACCTAGCTAAATCATTTGAAGGGGTTAATCCTATTCGATTCACTTATTTTATTTCTCCAATAACAAACTGCCCCTCTTAACTACTCAAGGCCTGCTGGTGAGGTTCAGCATTCTTAACTGGCATTTTACAGATAGATCATCTGATCCGAAAAAGAATTCAAACCCAAGGATCAAGTTGGCCAAACTCACTGTATTGTGGCATGAGAGGTGCGCCCAGGGTTTAGGGGAAACACGCGGAAAAACCGCCTCCCCCAGCCTGCGGAAGAGGCAGACAGGAAGGATTTCCTGCAGAAGGCATCTCCTGGGTCAAGGGTCTCCTGTGGACTGAAATCAGACTTGATCACTCCTAGATGGAAAATTCCATCAGAAACTGGACCTATTAACACTAAACCATGTGTCAAGCTAGAATCACCACAGCTCAGTCTTGCTTCGACCTCCTGCTGATGTTAACTAAGAAGACTTACTTAGTCTGTCCTGTTGGGAGGACCAACACTTGTGCTTATCTTTAATCCCACTTATAATCAACAGACCAGAAGATGGGGATAAGGAAAGCCCTGTAAGCCATAACAATTTCTTTTGCCTCAGCCCCCGGAAATGTGTGAGTCCAGAGAAAGAGGCTTTTGGATAAAGAGTTTCTGCTTCTCCTCAAGGGGGTGTGAGTCATTCAGAGGCTGGGGTCCACACTCAGGCCAGACAGACAGAACAAAGTCAGAGAGGAAGCGTGCTCTGGTGTGGAAAGATGCAGAACGTGCACATGTATGTGGTATAAATACTCCCACCATGGCCGGTTTCAAGCCACCAAGGTGAAGTCACTGAGTGTGGAGTTGGAAAAAGAGACATAGCACCCCACCATTATACAGTATTTTCACCACAGAGTTACAAGAGATGTCAGGAACCTCAAATGCATGGGTAGCAGTACAATATAATCAAACCATTAAGAAGTGACATTTTGAGTATTTATTACCTTTGTTTTTAAGAGAACTTATTTTAATTGTACATTTACATAATTTCATTTCTAATAATGGCTACACTCAACAATGCGCTCACAAAATTCCCCAGAATTGATCTCTCAGCCCCCTCCGGCCACCTGGGCCAGCTCCAGCATACACGGCTGTGGCCCTCCCACTCATTCAGTTGGGGCACCTAGCGTGGAGAGAGCAGGGAGGACCCCGTGCTGGCTTTCACCCCACCCAGCCCTATGCTGATCTCCTCAGTGGGGGCAGAGGCAGGGCTCCCCCGCCACCAGCAGATACAGCCCCATTCTTACTGGCCACCGTGGCCACTTTGCACATTCTCTCCATCCCACACCTTCTGACTTTATTCTCAGGAGCCTGAGATGAATACGAAGACCTGGTTTTCTTCATTCACCTTCACCCTGGCCCACCGAGTATCTGCCTCGGACGCTCCCGGCCAGCCTGGAACCACAGCAGAACACCCCACAATCTCCCAGCCTCTGACAACAGAATCCCAAAAGCTTAGCCGGACTGCCTGTTCTCATCATCCCTCTCCTCACATTCAGGGCATCATTACTACCCTTTCCATAGTTCCATTTTAACAAAATTATATGTCAGCCACGGGCTGGGCACCAAGGAACACATAAACGCTTCCTCCCCTCAAAGATCATTTTATGGAGTAAATATAACACACAAATAGAACGCAGGAGAGAAAAAAAAAGCCATTTAAACCAACTGTTATAATGTGTGGACGTTCATCCTCAGTCGTACTCCTTCTCTATAATTAGCAGCCACGGGCTCCCGGGACCCAAGCAGCCTCCATAGAAATGCCCCAGTCCTCCCTCCAGAAGAAAGGCCGCCATTACTTCCTAAGCCAGTGTCACAACCCTGCTCCCCTAATTAACAGATGGGCAATTTGTGCTAGTGAATTTAACTAAAACGGAAAAGATGAACGTGTGCCTTTTAATCTGTCAGGAAGTGTATGCGGAGCTACAGGAAAGGGTCAACGTCAGACATCGCAGCCTTTAGCAAGCGGAATACATGTGCACAACGGGGGTCCCCACAGCACAGGTGGCCTGTGAAGATACCACACAAGTCAACACACACTGCCTGCTCCATTCCATAACACAAGCCCCACCTCATCGGTGCACCCGAGACACATGAGATTAATATTTAAACCATCACATGAGCCAAGGAGTAAGAATAAAGGGCTTCTGGGCTGGACAGACACACTGAAACTGTAAAATCCCCTAAATACTTTAAGGGGGTCAGCTTCGGGTATCACTTTAAAAGCAAACTGATAAGTAAACGCAAATGAATTCTTCGATCTGGTCAGGTATAACGAAGGGCCAGTTACAAAAGAACACAACAACGTGAATGGGGAGTGAGTGGAGGTTCATTCTGACCTGGAGATTCTCAAGATTCAGACGAGGGGCGCCTGGGTGGCTCAACTGGTTAAGCCTCCAACTTCAGCTCAGGTCATGATCTCACGGTTCGTGAGTTTGAGCCCAGCATGGGGCTCTGCACTGACAGCTCAGAGCCTGGAGCCTGCTTCAGATTCTGTGTCTCCCTCTCTCTCTCTCTGTCCCTCCCCCACTTGTGTTCTGTCTCTTGTCTCTCAAAAATAAATAAACGTTAAAAAATTAAAAAAAAAAAAGATTCAGACGGAACCATCCAAACTTTGCCTACACAATGGAGGACTCAGACACCTCCCTGAAACACCACTTCTTGACAGGGATCCTCAATTCCTACTAACCCCAAGGCAACCTGATCCCCATCCTTGGCCGCTCATGTCAACTGGCTTCCTGAATGACTTAAGGGCCCTGGAATTTCCTGACTCCAACAATTTTCATGTCAACCCTGATCCCCCGGGCAGCATGTCCCCTGCACTCCTTCCTTCGCTCTGGGGGCAGAGTGGCCAGGACGCTGCCGGGCACTTCAGGACATAAGACAAAGCAGGGAGCCCTGTGGGAAGATAATGTTACAGGGCTGTTCCAGAAGTGCGGCCGTTAGGGAAGTCGAGCGGCAGGGACGGTGGTGTGACAGGAAAACTTTAGATCGGGCTGCAGGCTATAAATCTGTGGCCAGGATTCTGGGGGCGGTGGGAGGGCAGGTGGGGTGCTCAGGAGGGAGTTGCTCACAGAGCCACAAGAGGAGCCCTTCCAAATACCCTGGAATTTTGTGTCACTCCACCTTGACAAACCATTAAAACAGGCCCTCCACGCCTTACAGACAGGTGGCCCAAGGTCACTCGGGTTCTTTGGATTATTCCTACAGAGACAGTGCATTCAAAAAGAAAAGGCAGACTCACCACCCTGGAAAAAACACAAAAAAAGAAAGAAAACATCTAAAACAAGGCTGATGTCACGTCTCGATCTGTATAATCTTTTCTTTCATTAATCCAGCAAAGTGGCATATTACTGGGGTAGCTTAATGATTACCTGGGTTTGGCAGCGGGTCTCCAGTGATCCTTAGTGTAGGCAATAAAATAGATTTGCATGGAA